GTTTCCAGTGTTGTCCCCTGTAGGGCTATGGGTCAGTGAGGGATGTCGTGTCTCATATTGGGGCTGGCCATATGGTCTTCTCTGTGGATTGACTGCTCTGAGTGGGAATATCACCATCAAGGCCTGGTGGGCCAGGATGTGCTCCACTCTCTCTTCCTCCCTCTTCATTTGCTCCGGTGTGCTCTGTTCAGACATGTCCCTCTCCCTGAGCTGCAGCTTCAGTGCTGTCCTCTGAAATAAATAGGGGGATGTGGGGCACCCTGGTAAGAAGCTCCCAGTGTTTCTATGGATTCGGAGTTCTGCTGTGAGGCAAGCAGAGGTAGAGACAGGGTGGACCAGGCACAGAGGGACTGGGGAAGAAGAGCCAGACCCTGGGAGCTGGAGGTGCATCCAGTGTGGCCCTACAGATCGGGCCGGTGTCTGGGGGGCCCAGTTCCAGGTTCCATCCTCATGGCTGTGGGGCCACCCTACATGCTAGTGACTCGTCTCGCCCGCAAGCTCTGCTGGAGAGGCTGCCGTGAGGCTCTGGTCACAGTGCTTGGTCCAGTCCCTGGGGCTTAGCGTGGCTCTGGGCACAGCTGGTCAGGGCAGCAGCGGTTATTTATAGTTGGGCTGGCTGCCTGGTAACGGCCAGGCAGTCACCCCTTTCTATTCCGCCTGAACTGGTGTGCTCCTGGCTGGGACTGCATCACGCCCAGCATGGCTCTGATCACTGTCCTTGGGAATGCTCTGGAAGGAGAAGCAGCTGCTGTCCCTAGGGAGGGGCAAATGCTGGCCTGGTCAGATCTTCACACCAGGACCCGGAACAGCCTGAGCTTCAGGCTGAACAAAGGGACCGGCCCTGCTGGATACAGGTTCCCACAGGAATTAACCCACAGGTAGACAGAGAGCCTGTTCCCTCTGGGGCTGATGGACTGGAAGCCTGCTGGGACAAAGGAGCCTTCCACAGTGGCCGCTGACAGGGCAGCAGGATGGGCCAGCGGGACCGGGCACCAGCTGCCCTGGCTGTTAGTTGGTTGGAGGTGGGCTGCTCGGCAGGAGTTCCAGACCCGGGGAAGGCACGGCTTCCCCCACCAGGTGGCTGCAGCAGCCACCTGGACATGTTGGCCCTGGTTGGGTGCTCAAGGACCCGGAGGCTGTTCCGGGGCCTGTAGTGACCCCTTTCCAGTGTCCCTGCAGCCCCAAGGAATGTGGAGCTGCCCCAGCTGGGTCCCTCGAGTGCCAGCAGAAGCTGCCATGCCTCTGGCTGGCCCCATTCTGAAGGGTGGACACCATGTCCTCTGGAGAGACTTGGAGGTGGCCTCTAAGGTGATGTGACTTAGAGCACACTGCTCTCCAGAAGGGTGTGCAGAAACAGCCACCAGGGCTGGAGGCAGTGGAGGCAAGCTTCCGGAAGGCTTTGTGTGCGGCTGGCTGGAGTGAGGGGTCTAGGATCTGCCCTGAGCCCGGGCATCAGGGTTCTGAGCCTCACAGGCTAGGACAGCCTCTGGGTTGGGTGCTCCCAGGGCCTGTGGCCAGTGAGGGCCTCAATTTGGGATCCTGGGATCCACAGGGCCAGAGCCCCCACACATCCTCTCAGGACACAAGCTCCGAGGGAGCTGGAACAGAGGGCTTCACACCAGTGAGCTCACTGCCCCCGATGCACCCACCTCGTCCTGACTCAAGTAGCTGTCCCGTCTGTCGCAGCAGATGGACTTACGAGGGAGCACGGAGCTCAACCCAGAGCTGGTCTTTCTTACTGGTTAAACTGACTGCTTTCCATTTCTATGGCTTCAGGGGCTGCTTTTCACTTAAGGTGTAAAGATGATCTCCGGGCAGTGGTTCTGGGTGCTTACCTTAACCTCCAAGGCTCCAGAGAGTCCATGAAACTTGAACTTCTGTCCTAATGTCCCCCCTTTGATTAGGATTCTTTTATAGGATCTATGATCCAATGTTCAGTCGTCATAGCCGGGCACCATGCAGTTCTGGTCTCCTGGCTAAAGAGGCAGTTGTTCATAGAGACAGTCAGCCTCATCCTCCAGACAGGTCTTATCTGGCCCTAACAGCAGTCCCGGAACTTCCTGCGTCCCGGCATGGTGGCGTGATGGTGGAGTGGGACTGGGAAGGCAGGGACCCGCACCAGAACAAGAGCTAGTGCCCATACAGCCCTCGAGAGAGGGCCCAGCATGATTGCAGTTCTCAGAGGCAGTGGGGCTTCTGCTTCCTGTAATTCTAACTATGGACGTGCTCTGTGCGGAGAGCCTGTGACAGAGTGGGCGGGGCCCAGAGGCAGCATGCCGATGAGAGTTGCTTCCAGAACAAGCACGATTAGACTGACCAGATTTGCACAATATTTTGTTATTAAATGGGGACAGGATTACAAGCTCTGACAGGAACAATTGATCCAGAGACCCGGGCTATTAGGTGCAGATGGGAACACTCGGTGGCCATCCCTGAACCAACAGGTCTTCACAATCACTTGTGCTTTCATCTGGTTAAAACTGTGATAAATGTGCATTGCAGAAACTCAGGAGGAAATAGAAAACTGGACTCACTGCCAGTGAGAGAGAGAGAGAGAAAGAGAGAGAGCTGAGGGCCAGGCTGCCCTAGCCTGGCACCCTGCACCCAGGACGCAGGCCTGCGGAGCAGCTCCTGGGGAGACAGGTCTGAGAAGCAGCCGTTGATAGGAAAGACGAGCCCTGTGAGCACAGGGGCTGAAGTGCCAGCTGCTAACCTAGAGGTTGGGCCTTGAACCCACCAAGTGCTCCTTGGAGAACGCTGAGGCCGTCTGCTCCTGTGAAGATTGTAGCCGTGGCACGGGGATATGAGGACAGCTCTTTCTGCTCTGTCTGCAGGGCCACTGTGGTCTGAACTGAGCCCACCACAGAGGGTTTGGTCTGTTGGGGTTAATAGTAAAGTCACAGGCTGTGTGCATGGGTGTCTGTTGTGTGTGAGTTCTATAAGGTGTGTGTCTATGGGAATGTTTCGTGCGTCTTATCTGTGAGTGGTTTACATGTGTGTACATATGAGGTGTGTGCATCTATGTTAATGTGGGTGCCTATGTATAAGCTTGTATGTATGAGTGTGCATGTGTGTATGTATGCATATATGTGTACGTGCCTGTGTGCCTCTGTACACACATGTGTACATATATAAAAGCATTCATGCACACACATGTGTGTGGCTGTGAGCATGGGCATATGTGCACACATATCAACACGCACGCAAATATTTTACGTGTGTGGTAAAACATATACGTGCGTGCATGCATGCACATGTTAATGTGCACATGTGTAGGAACATGTGTGTGCGTGCATGCATGTGTGGTGGGGTACGCACATGTGTGATCATGTGTGTCTATGGGAGCATGTGTGTGAATGTGCATGCATGTGTGAGTGTGTGTCTATGCAGACGTGCATGTAGACTGCAAATGTGTGAGTATGTGTGCACATGAGAACATGTATGTGAATAGGCATGCATTGGTGTGTGTGCATGCATGTGTGAGAGCATGTGTGTGCACACGTATGTGGATATACATGAATGTGTGTGTTCAGGTGTGTGTGCACATGCCTGGGGGTGTGACTGTGGGTACCTGCACAGGGAGGGCGGTCCTCATGGCGGGGCACACCTTCCAGTCTGGTCCCTTCAGCTTGAGTCTGAGCCAGAGAGTGAGAGTATGGGGTGTGCCACCCTCAGGGTGAGAAGCCATGCCTCCCACATGGAGGGAGTCGTACACCCACCTCCTGTCCTCTCGGGCCTGCAGCAAGTGACACTCTTTCTCTCCCCCCTCTTGCAGCCATGAAGTCGGGGGGCACACAGCTCAAGCTCATCATGATGTTCCAGAATTACGGGCAGGCGCTGTTCAAGCCCATGAAGTAGGTGCCAGTGCAGTTGGGCATAGGACGGGACGGGCGGGGTGGGGTGGGGTGGCGCTCAGGTCCCTGGCGGAGGGATCCAGGGCAGGGCAGGGGCGGTTCTCAGGCGGTTTGGGGCACACCATGTGGAACTGGCTCCTCCTCCGGACAGCAGTGAGCTGGGCTCTTCACTGCCCACCCCCGTCTCCCTTTCCCCAACTTTCCCCTTCACTGCCCAGGCCCAGCATTCTTACCAACAGGGATATTGGCGATTTAAACAAGAGTGGTCCCCTGCCGCCACCCAGGCCAGCGGTCAGGGTTGCCTGCTGCTGGCCTAGGGGCCTGTGTCTCAAAGATTCCGCTCTGCTCCCAGCCCCAAAGTGGCCTCGGACATGTGTAAGAGAGCAGGCAGGCTGTCTCTCCATCAAACTTGATTTACTAAATCTGGCAGCAGGTGAACATCAGCCCTGCTATTGTGTGTTTGTTAATTGTACGACTGGAAACCCGAACTGGGTTCTTGAAGTGCAGTGGGATGCGTGTGGTGACAAGTGGGTCTGCGTGGGGGCGCAGGAAGGGTCTTTGGTGGCCACTGATGCAGGTCTGTGGTCTGTGCAGGGCGGGGTGTGAAGGGGGGCGCTGTGAAGACTCCATCTCCTGACCCCATTTCCAGGCTCATGAATGTGCTGGGAGGACGGTGCCTTGGTGCTCGGGGTGCTGTGCACACCTGTTCCTAGGGGGTATTTTTGACCAACACAGTGTCGTCTCTCAAGGTCAGGAGGCTGGCAGTGCGGGTTCAGGGTGTCAGCTGCAGAGGGAGGCTGGCCCACACTGCCTGTTCATTCCATTCCGGGGACAGGTCTTTCTCATCTAGTTCCTGGGTCTAGGAGGTTCTCAGCGCAGGGACCCTCCACTCCCCGGCTCCTCTTTCTGGTGGTGGAAGAGCACTCGCATCCCTGCTGGTTCCCTTTGATCTCCGGAGAGACTGGCCGGACACAGTTAACCCTGCAGATTGCACCGTGCCACGTGAGCATAACTGCCTGTAGGCCTGCCTGTCCGCACCTCGGGTTTACAGCCAGAGGGCAGCAATAAGAGCAGGTCCTGAACGGAGGGTAAGGGCTTCATCGTGCGAATCATGGCCTAGCCAAGTTGGGGCCTATTTGGGGAGGGGCACACGACTCAGTCCATGAGAGGTAGTTTCCCCCTTTGTTCAATCTCCGGTGTTAGCAATGGTGGCAGTGAGTTCAGCACCTTCTGAAGCATTGGCGTGCCTGACAGGAGGCAGGTGTTGAAGGCCGTGTGTGACTGGAGGTCTCTCTCCATGCTTGGCCCTCCATGCCGTCCCTGCTGCTCTGGAGGGTGTCCTGTCTGTCCTCCTCCTAGCCCAGGGCTGCGGGACCCTGGGGCTGGGGATGATGCCCACTCTCACCTCTTTGAGGGCTGCACAGGAACTTGGCTGGCAGAGCTCCTGGCAAGGTGAGGGCGGGAGGGGCGCCAAGGGCCTGGAGAGGGCCGCAGACCTGGGATAAAGCACCCATGCCTATGTCTGGGGAGATGCTGAAACCATACTCATTCCTTTCCCTTGTTTCTGCTGGGTGCCTGGCTGGCCGAGCGGACCTTCTGCCCCTGTCATGTCCCAGGACTGTAGAGGCAGGCAGACACTGGCTGGCTGGGAGTCCTGAGGCCAGTGTGAACCTGGTGTCACCAGGGCCACGCTCCCTCTGAAGGCCCAGGGGAGTCCCTGCGTGTCTGGTCTGGTCTCCGTGCTCTCGCACTTTTGCTGGCTTGGCTTTCTCCTGGGCCTGTGTCCACGTCCCTTGCACTCTGCTGAGACGCCCCTCAGAGGGAATTGGGGTTTAGCCTCACCCTGCACGTTCAGGAACAAGAGAAAGCGTCCTGTTTCCAAACCAGTTCAGGAACAGGACTTCCACCCCAAGTTCACCCCATAAAACCTTCGGAGCACCTGCTGCCCACGGAGGTGGGCACTCTCTGCCCTTCAGGTCGTCTGTAGGACAGACAGCTCTCCAGAGACTCAGGAGCCTGTACAGTGGCCCCTTCAAGGGCCTGCTTATTCTCGAAGGTCCAAAGCCGCCTACACTCAGCTACTGACAGAAGGGCCAGTGCCCCAGCAGAAAGGCCTGGTGATCATTGGGACAATCTCAAAGCCTTTGAGGCTTGTTGACTGTGGTCCTGCGACCAGCAGCCCCTGGCTTCTGGGTGACCCTGCGGGGCCGGGCCTCAGGAAGGGGTCATCCACATGGCTGTGGTCTGTGGCCACCACCTTGGAAAATGAAAGCCCGTAATGAATAGTTCTCTTTAAGGAAGGACTTTTGTCTGTGAGCTGGTAGCAGCGTGGAATGTGGTCAATCGAACGCTGTGAGTCAGTCTTTTACTTCTGGGCTCTTGCAGGTAGAGGTGGGCATGGAGTCTGAGCGGGCCTAGGGCCATGGCTCTTCCTGGGAAGTGTGTGTGTGTGTGTGTGTGTGTGTGTGTGTGAGAGAGAGAGAGAGAGAGAGAGAGAGAGACAGACAGAGATAGAGAATGAGCGAGATGGTTCAAGATGTCCCTGGCTGTGCATGCGTAGTGAAGTGGAGAAACAGACCAGGCTAGAGCCCTCAGCCCAGGAGCTCCTGATACTCTTGCTTATGGGCATATTGCATTGCCTGCTTGTTTCAACGACTTCCCTGAGATGTGCTTCACACACCGTGCAGGTCACTCAGTATGCTCAGGCCAGCACATTCACAGATAAGTATCATCACCCCAACAGGTGAGGTCAGAAGACTTCATGCCCTCAGGACAAGCAACCCCTGCAGCCGCCCCTCCTCTCTGTCGCTGTGGCAGTGCCCACCGGGGCTTCATAGGGGGATCCCCGGTGGGATTCAAACAACTGGGCAAGCGACTTGCTGCTGTCATGAGCGTTTTAAGTGTGAAAATGATCTAGGCAGTTTATTTTTTCATACCGTTACTCCGGATGTAAGCACCCTGAAGCAGGTGCACACTAAAGCACAGTATGGGATGTAAATTTGTGATGTCTGCTTTGGGTGGCTGCCCAGCCACTCACCTTAGAGAGAACCCTGATTGCAAGCGCCATTTTAACCACTGCTTTGCCAAGTTCAGCAAAAATTAGGTTATCTGTTCTGCTGAACCGCTGGGAATCAGCGGCACCCCAACCCTGGGAGGGGATGATGTGATGATTGTCCCTTTGTGTCTGGCTTCTTCTCTCAGCGTCATGTTCACAAGGCTCCTCAGGACACCATTTCTCTCTGTGGCTGAGGGACACTCCACGGTGTGCGTAGATGGACCTCATGGTGCTCACCCACCGTCCGTGGCGGGCATGTGGGCTGACCTACCTCTGCACCGTGTGAGCAGACCTGAGTTTGCGTGTGAGCATACGTTTTCATATCTTCCGTGCACACCCCAGAGTGGAGCTGCTGGGCCACACGGGAACTCTAGGTTTTATCATCTGACAAACCACCCACTGGGACTGGACGAGGGGCACCGGCCAGCAGCAGCGTGGCATGGCATGGCGTGCAGCTCACTGTGGTTCCGATGCGCATCCCTGGGGACAATGGTCTTGGGCACCTTTCACCTGCTTGTCGGCCCACAACTCAGATTGGTTGGATGTTCAAGTCCTTTGTCTGGATTTAATTAGATTGTTTATTTTTTGTGTGAACAGTTGTAAACAGGCTTTGCATAGTATAGGTACAAGTCCCCTATCAGATATCAAAAACAACTTCTCTCATTCTCTTTGGCTCTCTTTTCCCTTTTCAAATGTTACCCTTTGAGGCACAACTTTTTGCCCGTTTTGAGGATGCCAGACTTATTTCCTTGGTGGCACCGCTGTTGATGGTGGTTGGGGGTTGCATTTAGGTTTCTAACCCAGAAACGTGTGTTTCAGTGAATGGTGGTGCAGACATGCTTGGGCCTGATGATGTTGTCAAGGCAGGACTCGTCTGAAGACGGTGCAGGGGGCAAGTGAGCAGAGATGAGGTGGCTGGACCAGGACAGGGATGGAGGGAAAGAGGTGGGGTTGGGCGGCCTGGAGGAGCAGCCCCCGGCATAGTGCTGGGCAGTGGTTGTGGGGACTGAGTGAAGGCTGGGTCAGCTTGACACCAGGGCTCTGGCTGTCATTGTCCCTGGTTCCCGGGAGGGAGCCTGGTCAGCTGCCATCCCATTGGCCCTGACTCACGGTGACCCTATCACAACCACGTGGACTGGCCCGCCCTGTCTCCATGATGGACACGTGCCCGAGCCCATTGTGGAGGCCACCGTGCAGTTCAGGAGGCGGGGTGGGGGGTGGGGGGGGGGTGTTTGCCTCCCGGCTCCCGGCCTGTGTGTGTTGGGATCAGTTGCATTCTCCCAGCCTGGCTCTTGGAAGCAAGTCTTCTGACCTTTCTTCCTAGTCTGTCTTAGCCTGGGAGCTCCACTGCCACCTGCCTTTCACGGGGACCCTGCTGCATGTGAAATCCAGGTGGCACAGCTTCCAGCCTCACAGACACCTGCAAGCCATCACGTTGGATACACGGACAGACAGGTGGTTGGAATACTCTCATTACTCATGCTGGGCGGGGCCTCACCTGATCGTTGATGTGATGGGTGAACCAGGCTGCGGTTGCCCACGTCAGACAGGTCCACCACGTGGTTAGAACGCGGCATGGGCGGGGGGTGGGGGGGAATAGAGGTGGGGGGAGGGGCTCTGAGCCACGTATTTATCAGCTCGCAGTCTGGGTGGGGCAGGTCTTGCAGAGAGACCAGCAGGAGGACAAGGGTTCACTTGACTGCATCTGGGACACTGAGCTGCACCAGAAACCCTGGGTGCTGACACTCACGGGAGCTTCCTGGGTGGCAGTGTCCCACGCACACCAATGAGGCAGGAGGGTGAGTCCCTCCAGTGTGGGATGGGGCGTTCTGCATCTGTAACTTCTGGCCCTCACCCTCCAAGTCCCTCCCTTTGCCTGGTTCTTAGTTGTCTCATTTGCTATAATACAACTGTAATTGTAGGCACAACACAGTCTGGTGTGTTC